TTTCCAAAGATTCTGCCTTTGGTTGACCGGATTCCCCCCCCCCCCCCCCCCCACATGAAAAAAAAACACTGCATATTGCGCGCGCAGGCGCCCCGCCGTCGTACTTCGACGTCGCCTGGGACGAGGACGAAGGCTACGCCCCGATCGCGGGTCTCGACGCCACCGCAGGCGGCGGCAGTGACCGGGCCCGCGGCGGCGTCGGTGACGGTGATACCAGCAGCAGCGGCGCCGCCCCCGACGCTGCCGCTGCCGACGGCATCGAGGGTGAAGGGAGTGTTGCGGGGGACAGCAGCGGCGGCGGTGGCGGCGGCGGCGGCGGAGGCGTGTTTGTCCCGCGGTGGCCGGCTCTGGCGGAGGAACACCTGTCCCGGCTCTACCACAACGATGACGGAACCCGCGCTTGGTAGGTGTTGTCGGCCGTTTATTCTCAGACGGGGGTACAGCACCAGAGGCCTGCCTGTCTATTTAGGTGTTGTTGTTGTCGTTGTTGTCGTACTTCTTCACACTGAGAAATAGGAAATGGTAAGGAAGGAGTGACCAAGCTCCATCCAGTAGCACTATCCCCTTCCCCCCATTAAAGGTGTGGTCTGGTGCTGCCGTTACGGTTCCATTCTTCCGAGGTGCATCTCTGCCTTGGGTGAAGGGCTGTGTAAGGAAAAAGAGCATAGCTTCATGTCAAGTAGGTTCTTGAAAGGGAGGCGGCGAAAAAGTTGCCGTCGCAGCGCAGCAGTACATGTAGTAGCTGTAGCAGCAGATTTCATCGCCCACTGCTGCGGCAGTGAATCCGCGAAAGACGGTTTATGTTCAAGGTGCGTGTCCATGTGAACATGTATATATAGCAGCGACGCATAGCTCGCTCATCATCGTTTGTAGCTGACGTTTCGCCTATAAGGACCCTTGACCTGCTGATGAGCCGTCATCATCTCCCGCAGGCAGCAGCAGCAGCAGCAGCAGCAGCAGCAGCAGCAGCAGCAGCAGCAGCAGCAGCAGCAGCGGTGGCCGAACGTTGTTTCCACAGCCGAGGCGACGGAGACATGCGTAGCGTAGACACCGGTATCACAAGCTACATTTACTCTGAAATCAAACCCTCCTACCTACGTTCACCATTTTTTTTTTTGCACCTCCGTTTCTTCTCGCGGGGCACACACACACACAAGCTTCGCGCGGTTACGCTTCCGCAACTCGCAAACCGCAAAAAAAAAAAAAACACTTGTTCATGGAACACACTATAATAATAATAGTGCTGCTTCTGCTGCTGCTGCTGTCTCTGCTGCAGCTGTGAATCTTCTTCCACGTGTGTGCCCTCGACTACACAACAAACTACAACCAACACGCCACACCCCTGTCCCATCACACCTTGCAACAGTTCAAACGGCGGCGGCGGTTCGGAGCCCCTGTCTCTGATGGAGCTGTGCGTGCGGTCGATCTGCCGACGGATGGGCAACTTCCGGAAGTTCCCATCCTACCTTCCGAGAGAGGTGGTTGATGCGCTGCTCGGCTCTCTCACGCAGGTGCGGTGTCGAGCTCATTTTTTTTATTGTATTTTTTTTTCTTTTTTCTTTTCTTTTTCTGTAGAAGAACACAACATGTTTTCTCTTCCACGGATAAATAAGCCTTGTCTACGGCTGCTGCTGCTGCTGCTGCTGCTGCGGCGGCGGCGGGTGTCTCTCGTTCTGCTCGTGTGTCTCTTGTCGGATTTTTATGCATATGCGATCTAGCAGCACCCGAATCTTGGAAGAATGGATCTACATGTAGACGCGCAACGAAAGAGGAATGGCGCTATATGTGTCTCCCAAACGATGTGGTTGCAAGAGTCTACAGGTTAGTGCGACGGCCTCTCCTCCGCCTCTCACCTTCAGACATGTTGACATCGGTCCTCCGGGCGACCACAAGTTTTGTTTTTGAAAGTAAGAGAAATTCGAGCGCCACCCCCCCACCCGCCGGTCTGGTGAGAACCCGGCGTGCTCCGTCCCGGCTTGTGGGGATGCGAAGTCAAAGGTCTAGCGACTACGGCATGCCCGACTATGAGTACACCCCCCACCCCCCATGAAATTACGATGCCCCCGATAATGACTTGAAGCAAGATAAGTCCCCCGTCCCCCCCCCACTACGATGCCCCGTGTCTCGATGAGATGGTGTCATCCATGCTCCGAACGGCCGCACATAGTGGAACGGAAATAGATAACAAATACCTTCGTTGCAACGTTAAATGCTCCAACCCGCTTCATCGGCCGGCATTACGAGAACGTTTTCGTGGTGCGAAATGTTTGCCGTACGGTACTTTCAATAAGGAGCGCGACGAGTTCCCCCCGCCTGCACCAACCGTTGGCAAAGTAGGAAGGAACGATTGGCGATTGGCCATCGGTCCTGTAGGTCCTGTAGGAAAGATGCTCCGTCCTCTGGAGGACACGTGGTCTGACAACACCCTTAAGACGTGCAAAACACGAGTACGACCCCCACAGCAAACGCAAGGACGATGTCCAGCTCTGGTTCGTCCTTGTGAAACGTTTGCCCGGGTCGGCGAAAACAAGGCGGCATATCGCTCCGTCCCGGGATTGCAGGGATGTCAGGTCTATTGGTCTATCGACTCCGACATGCCTTCACATGAGCACCCCCCCTCCCCCCGCCCCCGCCCCCCGCCCCCCCCGCGTTCCTTAGCACCGGGCCCTGAGCAGCTACGCCCTCCGGGCGTTCCGAGACTGCGAGGTGACGTCGTTGGCTCTGGGGGAGTGCCGCGGCGTCCGCAACGGCTGGGTCAGGGAGCTGCTGCAGGCCACGCCGTGCGGTCGGTGCATCGTGACGCTGGACCTGTCGAGCTGCACCGGGCTCACGGACACGTGCGTGTGTGTGTACCGCTGCGGCTGGTGGTTGATTGTTCGGCGTCACACGGGGCTGTTGTGTGTTGCACGTATCTTCTTTGTTGTTAGCATCGACCGCACTAACGAATGAAAATACGCCAGTCTCAGTGCGGCTGATAACGGAAAACGCTTCTGAAGGTTTACCATGGTCTGGAACCCCGTCGGGGGGCGTCATGGGAGAGGCTTTAGCTGTGTGTGTGGTTTGTTGGTGGGTCCCTCCCCCCTTTAGGTCGTTCCGCCTCTCTCCTTTTTCGCACTCGCGCCTACCCCGGTCAACCTATCCTAGGAAAATAAATCGCCATAGAAACGTAGGAGAGCACCGCTAAGTGTGGAGACTGTAGTGTCTCCTGACGGGCGCTTGAACGCCCTTTTTGCTCAAACGACTACGTACTGAGCAATGAATGACCAACGGAGTGACCCCAGAAGCTCCCCCGACTAACCCCCCTGAGTCCCGCCCTCGAGTGACCCCCGCCCCCCCCGAAGTACCTAACTGCGTAACCCCCCCTCTCTTACATGATATGGTACACAGGGGTCTTTCCGACCTTCCCGCCCTCAAGAGCCTTGAGTCCGCAAGCCTCCGGCGATGTAGCGGCCTAGGCACAGAGGCTACCCTCTGCCTCTCCAACTCCCCGGGGCTGGAGACGCTGAGCCTGGCGCACTGCCCGCTCCTTGACGACGCGGCCGTCGGAAACCTGGCGGGGCTGTCGAGGCTCCGGTCGCTTGAGCTGGAAGGGTGTGAGGTGAGCGCGACCGAAAAAGATGGTTTGGTGGAGGTTGTGGCGCCTGCCTGGCCTTCCGAGAGGGAAGAGAAAAAATATGTATCCGCCTATACGGATGCTTTTGTTCTTAGCACCAACTAGCATCACTGATAACTCAGTGTAAGGCTTACACGAACTCAAAATAAGCCCAGTCTCCAGTCGGTTTCAATCCACTTACTGACAAGACTTCACCACATCCCTTCCGACTGAGGTTACATCTCGAACGGGTAGTCTTTCTGTGAGGTCATGTTTACTTTCTAAAAAAAGAGGGCTTTGTAGAGGAGAAGAGGAGGGTTTTGTCGAAGATAAGAAGTTTTTTGTTGTGACGTCTGGTGTGAAAGGGTGTGAAGGGTGAAGAGAAGAAGAGGGTTTTGTAGAGGAGAAGAAGAGTTTTTTTTGTGGAGTCTGAGCTCAACGTGTGTGAGGTGAGTGAGACGAGCGGAGGGTGGTTTTTGTAGAGAAGGGGGGGTTTCTTGTGGCGCCTGCCTGGCTTGGAAGGGTGAGAGTTGAGATGAAGATGCGGTTGTGCTGAAAAAACAATATTTTGAGGCGTCTGACTTGGAAGGAAGTGAGGCGAGCAAGGCCTTTAGGTTTTGTAAAAGAAGAAGAGGGTTCATGTGGCGCCCGAACGCGATACAACCTCACCCCAGAACACGTTGAGACGGACGACCCCCAACACCTCTTTCGCGCCCCTTTGCTCGCCCAACGCCGTTTTCTCCATTCAAAGTGTCACGAACACGTGTAATTGTAAACCTCCGGAGTTCTTGAGGCTCGTAGTCAACACAACGGTGTAGAAGTTCCGTTTTCCAGGCTCATTTAGAGTTTTTCATAGCCCTCCGGTAGTACTGGAAGCCCAAACGAGGACACTTTGGGGACATAGCACTAGCACTCAAATTGCCTAGTTACCGCACCGTAGACGGATGTCCCCCCTCCTCCTCCCCTAGCCCCCCCCCCTCATCGGCGCCCGATTCCCGTACTACCCCCCCCCCCATTGCTGTGTAATCTTATCACGAACGTGTGTACGGTCCCTCTCAGAACATCTCCGATGAAGGTCTGCGGCTGGCGTGCCGGCTGCCGTCCCTGACGTGCCTCAACGCCTCGCGGTGCCACGGGCTCACGGTCGACGGGCTGGCCGGCCTGGAGCAGGCGGCGGGCGGGCTGAAGCGGCTCAACCTCGGCTGGTGCGCGGGTCTCGTCCGGGGTTCCGCGGCCGCGGGGGGGCGGGGGGGGGAGGAGAGCGACGACGAAGACGATGAGGATGATGAGGATGGCGGCGGCGACTCCGATGATGAGGGGTTGGGTGGAGGGAGGAGGAGGAGGAGGAGAGGGCGGTGGGTGCTGCCCGTGCTGCCGAAGCTGGAGCGGGTTTGCCTCGCCAGGTTAGTAAGTCAGTAGTTGGCGGTGTTGTTGGTGTTGTTGGTGTTGTTGGTGTTGGTGTGCCAGTGGTGTCGCTGCCGTTGCTGTTGCTTTTGCTTTCACGGCGCTACTGCTGTTTCGGCACTGACGGGATAAGGCGTTTCTGTTGTTTTGGGGTTGTGACGGAATTGACGGAATAAATCGTTAACTGTTGTGTTTGCCATGACGGAATACTCGGTTTGTTGCAGCGCGTTGTGTGTTGTGTGATATCGTGCTCTGGTGGAAGTCGTGTTGTTGAACTCGGTGTTTCCTGCAGCTATTTTGGTTGGAAAGTGTGTCCGTGAAAAGCAAGCACCACGCCAGTGATCAAATCACGGCAAAGTTTGACGACAAGGGCGCGTATGGCGAAGGCGCGAACAATGACTTCAACACAATATCCCCCTTGACTGCTGTCTGTGGTATGTTTCTCAAACGGGCAGTCTTTCTGTGAACTGATGTATATTTTCTAACGATGCAACAACAACAACAATAAAATACCTAGCCCTTCTTTGAGCGAGCTTCCAGGTAGAGAGACCTTGTGCACATTGAAAACGCCGTAGATACCACAACCACACCACCACCACCACAACCACATCACCACCACCACCACCACCACCACCACCACCACCACATCACCACCACCACCACCACCACCACCACCACCACCACATCACCACCACCACCACCACCACCACCACCAACAACAACTGACGAACGATAACGGCTGAAACGAAACAAAAACAAACAGGAGCGGCATCGGGAACGAAGGGCTATCCCGCCTCTCCGCAGGCTCTCCGCTGCTGAGAGACCTCGACCTGTGCGGTTGCGTCAGGCTCACGGAGAGTGGCGCGCACACGCTGTCGGCCCTCCAAGACCTAGAGACCCTCGACCTCAGCAACTGCAGGTGGGGGTGACGTGTAGCATCATCCGGGGGGGGGAGGGGGGGGGTACTCATGGCCGTGCATCATGCCGTAGTCGTTAGACCGTTGACCTCGCATCCCGGGGGGCGGGGGGGGGGGGGAGGGGGGGCTTGCCCCCCTCCGGGGGCCACCCCCCCCCCTGGGGGGGGGGGGGAAGTGTTTTCTCCTTTC